GCTCTCTAGAGATTCTTTCAGGTGGTTGGTTGGTGCTTAATGGTTTTAACATGTGGGTTTGAATTCCTAAGCAAGGTATTGTTTACTTTGATTCACTTTGTTTTCTTAAAGATTTTATTTATTTATTTGACAGAGAGAGACACATCGAGAGAGGGAACACAAGCAGGGGGAGTGGGAGAGGGAGAAGCAGGCTTCCCGCTGAGCAGGGAGCCCGATGCGGGGCTCGATCCCAGGACCCTGGGACCAGGACCTGAGCCGAAGGCAGACGCCCAACGACTGAGCCACCCAGGCGCCCCTACTTTGATTCACTTTTAATAATCATTTGAATCTTACTGTACAATTCTTCTGTCACTTGCTTTTTTTCATTCAACAAGATGTATTTGAGATTGACCTTTGTTAATATGTGTGACTGTGGGCCACTCATTTCCACTGGGATGCATTTATCACAATATATTAATCCAATTAGTTATTGATGGGCATTCCAGTTGTATTCAGGTTTTTATGTTTTTGAATATGATAAATGATGCTACTGTGAATATTCTTGCCTGTAATTCTGGGTGCAAAAGTGCAAGACTTTTTCTAAATTTAAAAAGTTGGAGTGGAATTTCTGGCTCATTCAATATGTGCATGTTTAATTTTACCAGATAAAATCAAACTCCCAAAATGTTTGAATCAGTCTATATGCCTATTAGCAATACATGAACTTATTGTTCTTACATCCAAAGCAACACTTAGCAGTATTGTCAAACCTTTTAATTTTGCCAGTCTGGTAAACATGAAATAGTATTTCATTGTCATTTTAATTTGAATTTTCTTGTTTACTAATGAGATTGAGCATCTTTTTATATGTTGATGGGCCATTCATGTTTTCTCTTCTGGAAAATGCCTGTTCATGTCTTTTGCCATTTTTAAAAATTATGTTTCTTTTCCTGACATTTGAATTCTTTGTATCATCAGAATTCTGATCATTTATAAGATAAATGAGTTGCAAATTTCTCTCAACTTATGATTTAGTTTCTCATTCTCCTTACTGTGTCTTTTGATAAGTAGTCATTCTTAATTTTTCTGCAGTCAGTCAGATTTATCAGATATTTTCTTTTATGGTTTGTTCTTTCTATCTTAAGAAAGTCTCCTCTAGGGTGGGGGGATGGGGTAACTGGGTGTGATAGGCATTAAGGAGGGCATGTGATGCAATGAGCACTGTGTGTTATGTACTGCTGATGAATCACTGAACTCTACCTCTGAAACTAACAGTACACTATATGTTAATTGAATTTAAATAATATAAAATAAATTTTTAAAAAATAAAAAAATAAAAAAGAAATTCTGCTCCATTGTGTGTCAACTGTACTTCAATAAGATAAATGAATGAATGAATCAATAGATAAAGTTCTGTTCTATCTTATGGTCATAAAGATAGTCTCCATTATCTCTCTATTTATCTATGCATATGTATACACATACACATTTAAATGTTTAATCCACTGGAAATTGATGATATGTGTGTGCATTATGCAATTTCCTTTATTTTTCCCCAAATGCATAACCAGTCATTCCCATTTCACATCTTTCCCCATTGCTCTGCAATGCCCTCTCTCATAAATCAAAAGTCCACATGTGTGCGGTCTGTTCCTGGGCTCTCCACTCTGCACTGGCAGTCTGTCTGTGCACCAATGTCACGCTATTTTAATTACTCTTGATATCTGATAGAATGAATCTATACACCTTGTTCTTCAGGAATGTTTTGGTTATAAGCTTTAGAACAAGTTTGTCATTCTCACAAAAAGATCTTTTTTTCAAGTATTAAATCCACAGATGACTTTGGGGAGATTTCTAAATGTTATTGACATTTAGACATGCAACTGACACACACACAGATTTTCTATAAAACAACCTTACTAAACTCTTTTAATAGTTCTAATCATTTATCTGTAGATTGTTCTGTTCTCCACATAGCTAATCATACTGACTACAAACGATGATAATTTTGCTTCTGTTCTTTCCGATCCTTATACCTTTATTTCCTCTTTTCTGTCTTACTGTGTACCCACAAAAAAGCCGGTCTCATGTGAAGGGGAGTGGTGAGAGTAGGCAGCTTGGTCTCATTCTGGGGTGCTGTCTCCTACAATTTTTTTTTGTAAAAATTGATCAAGCTGTGTACTTAGGATTTGTGCCTTTTTTAAAAACACTATGTTAGGGGCGCCTGGGTGGCTCAGTCGTTAAGCGTCTGCCTTCGGCTCAGGTCATGATCCCAGGGTCCTGGGATCGAGCCCCGCATCGAGCCCCGCATCGAGCCCCGCATCGAGCCCCGCATCGGGCTCCCTGCTCGGAGGGAAGCCTGCTTCTCCCTCTCCCACTCCCCCTGCTTGTGTTCCCTCTCTCGCTGTCTCTCTCTCTGTCAAACAAATAAATAAAATCTTTAAAAAATAAAAAAATAAAAAAAACCCCCACTATGTTATACTTCGGTAAAAAGTAAAAAAAAAAATTTTTTTTTAGGACCATTTCCCCATCATTCTAACCTCTCCTTATCCCCTAAGGATGCCACTGAGCTGGTTTGCACCTGTCTATTTTCAACCTGACTACATATTACTGAAGAAAAGAAGTCTTAAGTGAGAACACCCATGCCTGTTTACACGCATTTGAAGAACTATCAGGGGAAGGGGGCACAGGCTGAGGGAGTCTCAGCAGCCCCAGAGGGTAGAATGCAGAGGAGAGATGGAAATGCGGGGAAACAGACTTCCATAAAGCAGGAGGAAAAGCTTTCTAACCGTATTGTCACCTCACCAGAATAGACTGCTCCCAGTGAGCTCCCAGCCTTGTAAAGATTTAAGCAGGGCTGGACACACACCTACTAAGGACTCTAGGGAGGGCCACCCCATCCTCTCAGTGGAGAGGTGGGGGGCAGGGTGTGGGCCAGATCAGGACTTCTGTCTCTTTCAACTACCAGCTTTGAGATTTTTAAAGAATTGAGCTTATTTCTTATCCTACTTTTAGGGGATGCTCAATCAGCTCCTCATAATACTTAGAAAACTAATCATAAAATAAAGTCAACAAAAACAAAACATTGAAAATGTTAATATTGATAAATCCCTCTCAAGTCCGATCAAGAAAAAGAGAGAGGAAGATAACACATTAGAATTCTTTTCTCCCAAAGAAACAGCTAGCAAATATAGTAAGTGTGCATCCAACAATCCTTGAAAAAAAGTGTAGTTATTCCTGTTAATTTTCATCCCGAATCTGAGGTTTCTAGCCTTATATTTTGTCATTTAATATTCTTTTCACATAAAGGACAAAGTAGTTCAGGCACTCATTGATCTGAAATCCAATAAAAGAAAAAAAACCTGTTAATGGGGTTGACTGGCTTTTTCGCAATATAAGGAATTTTGAACGAAGGAAAGTTTTAAAAAATTTTTATGAGATGGGAGGCAATTCTGTGATTTCATAGTTTTACTTTATTTTACTTTCATTCAACCGAGCTCCTTCTTTCTAGAAAATCTTCCGTTTGTTGGTAGATAAAAATACATTCTCAGATTCTCCCAGAAGCTGCGCCATCAGCCTCATAGACTAAAAAGAAGCCTCGTTTCCTTGTGCCGCTATAGAAATGTCTCCGTTCTCCACTCCGGGCTTAACCGGATCAAAGTCTTTTTTCATTCTTAGTTGATTGTTCTCAGAAAATCTGGAGTTCAGACAGGCTTGAGCCAGGAGAGGGTGACCTCTTGAGGGCAGACCCTGAGGCATGGCGCTTCTCTTCCTTTCTCAGACCCAGGAGAGCTGCGCCCCCTCTCCGTGCGCGGGGAGAGTACTCCCGCCGAGCCGAGAAATCCGTTACCAGGCTGCTGTGTCCCCAAGGGCCATTCCAGGGCGGAAGAGGACGGGGAAAACCGCTGTGTTGATTCCTCGGCCCTGTCGGCTGGGCGCGCAGCGGGTCAGGTTACAGACAGGTGAGTCTGGCGGATGGGCGAGCTGCGGGCGCCAGGGAACTCCAGGCGAGACGTGCCCCCAGAGCCCGCGCAAGTCCGATCACCCACCGGAGTGGTGCTCCCACCGCAGCGGTGGAGGCACTGCTGCGCGTCCCCGGGCGCACCCGAGCAGCGGCCGTGAGGGGGACAGCGCGAGCGCCCCAAATGCAGGCACGGCTGCTCTTTGAAACTTGGCATCTTTCTCTTACCAACTCCTCTTCCTTCTCTCCCAACTCCCCCTCCAGGTATAAAGGCAGAGAGGAAAAGCCAAAACCAAAAATAAATACAAAGCTCTCCAGCCACCTCCCCAGTAGCAGCCCAACTTCACTTAACTGGGAGACGTATTTTCCCAGCCTCGGAATTTGGGGAGCGGGCGATTATGGGGAGACCATAATGGGAGTGGGCAAGGATAAGAAATTTGTTACGAAGCCGCGTTTGCACAACATGCGCTTGGCTTTTGTTTCCATTGTGTGTTTATTTGGGTTGATGGGGCTCTTGGGGTGGTAGGTCTTGGGGTGGAAGCTGCTTTAGCAGAGCTAGCCGACTTGTTTTTCCTAGATTGTATGGCACAAATCAATAATAACGACGTGTTCTAAATTTTATTATTACTGTGTTTATTTGGGGGACTGTTGTAAATGATGGGGAACCTAAGCCTCCAAGTTCCCCCCTTTACGAGATCAGAGTCCTGGAGAGTCTCCCCGCCGCCTCTACCTTCCGCCCGCCGAGATTTCAGCCAGCCGCGGAAACCATCCACCAAGTCCAGAGGAACTGAGCCATTTTCTTGCTTGCCAGTCGGAGACAAATCCACCTGGGGGCGGGGAGGGGGGGTGCAATTCGCAGGAAGCTCCAACTCTTAGGATGGATGCCCTGGGAAGCGGACCTGGCGGCTTACCTCTAAGAGTTTGCCCGGAGGTGCATGTGGTGGGGACTGGGGCGAGAGGTTGATTAAAAAACGTTCTTCCCTTTTTAAAAAGGGGGGGGGGGGAAGAATCAGACGTTAAATTCTTTTGCAAACATTCATGCCTAAGGAAGGGCTGGAACAGGCAGCCCCGGCCGCCGGAACCGGTCGGACAGGTAGCGAGCTTGTTGACACCGTTATGTTGCAGGGCGCATGCTCACTCCCAAGTTTCCTGGTGCCTTTTCTATTCCACCTTATGAAACTTTTTCCTCGGCGTGGTCTCATCCGCGATTTAAGGCATAGGTGTCGCCGAGCCTGGAGGCTGGGAGTCGCCGGGCGTGCGGGGGAGAGGCCTGGGCCGCGCCGCGGCGGGGGGCGGAGGAAGAGGGCAGGCTAGGCGGGAAGGTGGGCTCTGGCCGCGGGGAGCCGGGGACCGAGTCCCTGCCGCAGCTTCTAGCGGGGAGCAGCCGGGAGGAAGGGGCCGCCGGCCGGGGAGGGGGCGCCACACCATGCCCAAAGTCTTCCTGGTGAAGAGGAGGAGCCCCGGGGTCTCCGTCCGCAGCTGGGATGAGCTCCCGGATGAGGAAAGGGCAGACACCTACATCCCAGGTGAGCGCCGCGCGGGGGCCGGGCCTGGGCGCGGGACTCCTGAGGTGGGGGCAGGGGTGGTCGGGTCCCCTCAGCTCCTCGGCGGGGGCTGGACTCCCCACCCCATGCCTCCTCTTTCGGGGCTGGCGGGGAGGGGGGTCCTTGAGGAGCGGGAAGACCGAGAGTGAGAGGCTGGGGAACCCGGGACGCTCTGCGCCCCCTTCCCCCTAGTGGGCGCCCGTAATTGCCCGGCGGCGGGACCGTTGGCTGCCGCGCGGGCCGGGGTGAACCTGGAGGGGAGACGGAAGGCCAGTAGGGGTTACTCTCAGTCCCATGTCCTCATGGGGTTGCACCAGGATCCGTCAGCCCCTCGGGCTAGGTGGGTTGAGGTCAGACCCCTAACCCCCTATCCCAGAGAGAGGAAACTTGGCGCGCGGGGTCCGCGGCCGCCGAAGGCCCTCGGTTCCTTGTGGGCGCGGGGACTGGGACCGAGGAGCCGCCCCCCCGAACCCCGTGCTCGCTCCGGAGGCCCAGCCGGGGACTCGCTGGCCCAACCCCGCGTGTTGCCCACTTGGCCAGGTGCCCAGGTCCAGGGCGGGGCGGCGGCGGCGGCGGCACCGCCCGCAGGTCAAACTGCCGCGGACGCCCGGGCCTGACGCCGCGTGTCTGTGTGTCGGGGCGCCGCCCCTTCCTCCGCAGTGGGCCTGGGCCGTCTGCTCCACGACCCCCCCGAGGACTGCCGCAGCGACGGCGGCAGCAGCAGCAGCGGCGGCAGCAGCAGCGCGGGGGAGCCTGGAGGCGCCGAGAGCAGCTCGTCCCCGCGCGCCCCCGAGCGCGAAATCCCCGAGCCCGGCGACGCCGAGGGCCCGGGCGGACACCTGGCGGCGATGCAGCGCCCGGTCGCCAGGTCGAAAATCAAGGTACGGTGTTGACTCTGTCCCCCGCCGCCACCTGCACCACGCCCTGGCGTCGGGCTCGGGGAGCCCGCGCCCCTCCCTGCCGCGCCCGCCCGCGCACCCGGGCACCCAGGCACCCGGGCACCGAGTGCGCCCTCTGCGCCGCTCCTGCACCTGCCTCTGGGTCTCCGCCAGGGCGGCTCTGCGCGTCCTCCTGTCTGCTGGTTAGCCAGCGGCCAGCGCCGCTGAGCCCTGGAGGCCGGCTCCTGAGCCGGCACGGTCCGCGGGGGTGGCCTCTGGACCTGCCTAAAAGACCCAGGCCCAGCTTCCTCCCTCCAGCAGCCCATTCTCTGTGCAGAGCCTTGAAGAATCACCAGGCCGTCGGGGTTCCCGGGTTCGGAAAGGAGGGACCCAGGCTCTCAGGAATTCCATTCTCTGCGGCGCATTCCTAGCGCTATGAGAATTCCGAGTTTCACACACTTCCTTGCGTTCTGGAGGCAGTGGCGACAGTTTGGCACACAGTGGACCTCTCATAATAACAGCTCTTCCTATTAACAGTTATGAAGTGCCCGTTAGACTGCAGATCTGTGCTGGGCACTTGAAATTTGTCATCTCTCTCAAATCTTGAATTAAACTGATGGATAAAGGGGTTCAACTGCAAATTGCCTCAGTGCCCCGCTCCCAGTGGGTTGGAGTGTTTGTTACCCTGCATTATCATTCTTCAACCCCCGCCCCCCAGGCTTCTAGAATTGTAAGCGACATCTTATCGGGACATTCATCTGGCTTTTTTGGGTAGAACTTCCATGATCGCCTGCTCAAATGTATCCGTTACCCGCAAGATTAAGGAATCTCATTCCACTGATTTAGTCAGCTGGAGCCAGGGAGTGGTGTTTTAGGAATCACATGACCCCATTTCCTAGCCTGGTGGGACTCTGCGGGCTCCAGGCCCTGGGTGGTGGGCGAGAATTCTTGCGCGCGCCAAGGCGGTCCTGCAGCCCTGCTGCCCAGGCGGGGGATGGGGGGATGGGGGGATGGGGGAGGAGGAACTCTAGTATTTGCTGTGGATTGGGTAAGACTAGGTTACTTTTCTTGGGCGAGGCCATCCCTCCCTATGCATATTACTGGTTCCTGGGGTTTGGCTTGGGGGTTGGCTAGGGTGCATTTGGTTATGAATTGAGGCTAGAGGCTGGAGCCGAAATCCTCTGGAAAGACATCTTTAAAGGTTGCTACGGCTCAAGCTGCTTGGTGTTAAAGTTGACTGCTGAGGTTCAAAGTCAGCTGGCCTGAGGGCTTTTCTGGGCCAGATGGGGTTAAGTGGGAGGGGACAGTTTGCCCGAGGCTGGTAGCTCTGCCCTCCAGGAAATTCTACAAAGTGTCCCACTTGCATATTTATCACCAGGCTGGAAGGACAATTGCAACGTTGTTTTGGGATTGACTGTAGTCAGTTTGCCCCTCTGTCCCCCAATTTCCCAGATTACCCTGGGAAGAAAGTGGCAGGGAAGAAAGATCCAGTCCCTTAACCAACATTTGAGGAGCTGTCTCTTGTCCCAGGCAAACAGCCCCATTGGATCCTTGGGTTAAAGGAATAAATAAACCACAATCTTATTTCTATGATCTTGCCTACATGCTGCCCCTGGGCTGGGGGATGGGGTATAGTGTTAGCTCCTCAACCTTAGCACAGCTTCCAGAGAAGTTCCATTTATTTGCTGAGGATGTTTAGATTCCTTTTCCCTCTCAGCCTCCATCCGAAAATAGGAGACATTTTGGTATTAAGATACTCCAAGCCTCCAGAATTATCTTCTGTGGTATTGGCCGTTTTCAAATGATTGTCCAAATCGCCTGTGACTTAGCATATTTCCTAATTCTAGAGTTCTATGCAAAACCTGCTGCTCTCTTAATTCTTAACCAGAAGAAAAGGAATGCCAATCCAGTATGAGGCCCATATATGATGCATAATGACTTGAGTTTGAATGACTTCAAGACACCCACTGAGCAGTTAGTTGGCTCAGAGGACTACAGGGGAGGGGCAGGTTTGAGCCAGTGCCCCGCAGAGAGGCAACGTCCCATCTAACATTATGGAGTTCCTGCTGCGTGCCAGGCAGCCAGGAGATAAAAATGTTCCCTGCCTGGTGTTCTAGAATCATCTGACAGTAACAGTTAAGCCTCTAGGCTCACTTTTTAGCTGCCTGATCTTGGGCAGGTTGCTAATCCCTCTGGGCCTCAGTTTCCTTGTCTGTGAAATGGGAATAATAATGATACCTACCTTATAGAGTGGTAAACATAATAAATGAGTGAAGAGAGGAACGTGGTAGGTGCCCATTAACTCTAGCTAGAATTATATGGGTTGGTGGAGAGACACAAATATTATTAACTCTGTTACAGCAAAGGGAATGCTAAAGCACAAGCAAAGATGTAATACATTCTGAGCTGGGGAAGGTTTCTTGGTGTGGATTTGAGGGCAGTGGAGAAGAGGGAGAGGCGGGCTCTAGGGCAGTGGCATGGGTTGAGCCCGAAGCTTGAGTAGGTAAAGGACTCAAAGTCCTAGTGCCTGAAAATGGATAATGGACCTGGTAGGGTCAGAGAGAAGAGTGGGAGTTGAGGAGCTGGGCTAGGGCGAGATGATGAAGGGGCCAAGCCAAGAGGTGTGGATGCTCCTGCACAGGCACAGGAGGGCTTCTGGAAGGGTTTTGAGAAGGAAGACCTCAGTTGGGTCCATCTTACCAGCTGTATTAGGGATACATTATCTGTCCTGAGTCTTAGTTTCCCTGACCTGTAAGGTGGAAAAGCAATAGAATTGGCCTCTCAGAAGGGTTGGTTAGATGGAATGAGGGGTGCAGAGAGTCTAGCACTTTTGTGCATGTGTAAACTGCCAGTAGGGAGTTAGCTAAAAGTTATGTATGGCAGGTTTCCTTAAGGTCCCCCAATATTCTGTTGCCTACAGTGGGGACAAGGGATTTGCCAATGCGGCTGTGCTGGTGAGTTGATCTGGAAAGGAGCTGCAGGTGCTGGTTAGGAAACCGGCCTTTCCCAGCCTATCGGCCTATGACTGTGTGCCTCAGGGCAGTTTGCAAAATTGTCTCTTTACTACCGAGGATTCAGTAATTTTCCAAACAGATTGAGGTGGAGAGATCATGTGTATCTAAGAAGGCGGTAGTGACAGATCCAGGTGGCTTTCAGTCTCTTTTTGCTGGTCCCACACAGGACTCCAGCTGTGGGGCAGAGACCCCCAGAAACCCTGATCACCATGGCCCTTCCTTTGAAGGCTTATCGGAACTAAGTAACTCTGAAGTTAAATCAGTTACTTGGTGGACATTTTTCCTTCCTGACTCAGTGGCTGGTGGGACCCAGGTGGAGGTGTAGCGTAGCAGGTGAATCTGTCTTCTCCCCCTTTTTCCTTCTGTTCTCGTCCTTTGGCCTCTCCCAAGGATACTTCAAAAGGAATTGAGTGTAGAATTCCTTCTGAAGGAATTTTGGTCTTTTACCTGGCTCTGTAGTCCAAGTCTTCGAGTCCTGCCAGACATAGGAACATGCGGTAGTGTTTTTCCTTTCTTCCCATCATTTGTCACCCACCCCAACAACCAGTAATCCATGGTTATTCCTGCCCATCCAACCCCTGCCCATCCCCAACACATGATTTTGAAGCAAATCTCATTTATCACATTACTTCAACTATAAATACCTAAGTATGTGCCTGTAGTAGATAAAGGCCAAAATACATGATCACACCTACATTAAGAGCGGTGTTCACATTGCTAATTGTCTCATCAACTCATATTTTTTTCAGTTTGCTGAATCGGGTCCACACAATGTCTACACATTGTAATTGATTGACATGTCTTTCAGTTCTTTCATAATTTGTCCATGTTCCCTCCATCTCTTTTCTGTGTCCTTACAAGTTAATTATTGAAGAGATGAGTAATTTGCTTGGAGAGTTGCTAACAATCTGGATTTTGAGGAATGCATCACCATTCTAACGCTCCTTGGTCTTCTGTGTTTTCTCTAAATGGATAGTTGGGTCTGTAGCTGCACTGCCCACTCTGGTAGCCAAAGTCACATGTGACTATTTAAATTTAAACTAAGTAAAATTAAAAATTAAGTTCCTCAGCCACATTTCAGGTGCTCAGTAACCACATTTCAGGTGCTCAGTAACCACATGAGACCAGTGGTTACTGTATTGGACAGTGCAGATTAGAACGTTTCTGTCATTGCAGAAAGTTCTGTTGGACAACACTGCTTTAGATGCTTGCTCAGGTGTATTTATTTTAGCTAAAAAATATGTCGGGGGGAGGGTCATCTACTAACATCAGGAAGCACACAATATTTGGTTGTCTCTTTGTGATATGAGCAGCTGTTGATAGTCAGGGTCTAAATATTTTAGGTTATTAGGGGTTGTGATATTCTGTCCTTCATTTCTTAGCCGATACTCTTGTATAGAGATATATTTCCCCTCACCTGCTGTTTGGTTCCCAGTGAGGCAGTTCATTTAGGAAAGGCCAAGTAAGATTCCCTTTATTTACCAGTTTTCAAGCTAATCTGTTGGTTCACCAGAATTCTACAGCGATGGCCAACTTGTTTATTTTTAAAATATTGTTGTGAATCATGATTTAAGTGGTTTTTAAAAACCCATCCATTTGATATTTGGAAGGGAACATAAGCTCTGTCCCTAACTCCTTGCCTATTGTCTTTTATCTCCTGAGACAGAATTGGCCGCCCCTCACCCCCACCCCCATTGTAACTCACTGACCATGTGCCTGACATTTGGCTGACCAGGCTCCTCTTCTTGACTCTAGACCCACCAACGGCAGGGAATGTTCCTACTGGGCTTGTATCCCCAGCATCTGGTACAGTAATGCCTGACTCATAGGAGGACATAGGTCAACACAGAACAGAAATACAGGTGTGGGGGGGGAGGGGTCAGCAGTCCCTGGATGTAAATGATAGCATTTGGAAGGAAATAGGAAGCAAGAAGGAAACATAGATCTCAGAAAACACCTGGAATAGATGCTCAAAATAGGCTAAATTAA